CCGACTCCTCAGCGGCCGGGGATTCGGCCTGCGGCTCGTCCCGGGGGCGTGGGGCGGCGGCGGCAGGAAGGCCTCTCAGGGAAGGGACAGGCTCGTGGTCCCCTCCGCCGTCGTCCTGCCCGGGGGGGCGGCCTCGGGTTTCCTCCGGCCCCTCTGCCATCGTCGCCTCAGCAGCACCCTCGGAGGTTCTGTCACTGCGCTGTCTCCCTCCCCCACTAGCCCCTCCCCAGCGGCCCCGTCGCCACCGCAGCAGCCGCAGGCGTCAACAATCCGCCACCGGAAGCGGAAGCCCCTCCCCTCGTCGGCGTCGGGGCGGGGCAAGGAGGTGAGGCCTGGAAGTGGGGCTGAGTGTTACAGCTTCGGCTCGGGGGCCCGCGGCTCCTCCGTTCTTACCGATTGTTGGGTGCAGACTGTCACTGCCGCCTCTCCCCGTCCCTCCTCCACCCCCTACCTCGTGCAGTTTTAATGAAGTTTAAGGCCCGAGGCTCCTCCAGATATCCGTGGATTCAGGCTGTCCCTGGAGAAACAGATGATGGAGGAAGAGGGTTTCCCAGAGAGGTCCCAGGGGTCAGCACCGCCTTTTCTATTACGGAGCCGCGACTGTTTTGGTCTCTAGGCACAGGGCTTGTTGCTTATTTCCGCCTGCATTCATTCCAATTAACTGGTCCTCGCCCATTTGTACTCAGGATGATACAAGAGATACACCCTTAGAGGATAAGAAATGAATAATCAAGCTCAACTGGAACTATCAAGATGGTATGACTCAGCTGCAGAGATACTCACTGTAAGAGAAAAGAAAGATTATGCTGATTTAAGAGTTAGATTGTCGTTATCCTGAAGCCAACCTGTGTGCATAAAATCTAACTTTCCACTGCTGCAGATAAGCTTACTAACACTAACAAAACTGCCTTTCCTCAGACCCATCGTCTCAACCTTTGGTGCCTGCCTTTTCCTTTATTTTCTGTAACTGCAAGCACCTGTTTACATCCCAGGGTTTTGGAGCGTTCTCTGTGTATCCTAGCCCAGGTATGATTTCCTCTTCCACTGAACAATATATATAGCACCTTACGTATTTCTATTTTAACATACCTACCTAAGTCCTTATAAGCGATAGGAATGGCTGTGTCCCCAGTACAATACAGAAGATGCACAGGGACAAGTACTGTGGGTATACTTATTAATAATGATGTCCCAAATCATTCTTGACTTTGCTCTAGGGAGACTTAAAAGGTGTAACTTTTGCCCTTAAGAAGCTAATGATTTGGTTAAAGGGAAAAATTTTCATGAAACACTTGACCTACTTAAGACCATATCAGTATAATATGAATCCAAAATAAGGTAAAGATCATGTGGCCTACAGCTAGAAAATCTACCCTTACAAATGTGGTTTTAAAAATCAACTGAGGAAGTTGTAACGTTTAAACAAACATGCATTCCAAGTTTGGGTGGAGGCGGCGGGAGAAGCAGGAAGAAATGAAGATAGCACAAAATGAGTGTGAAACCTCGTGGTTATTGGACATATGGACTTTGTTTTCCGTGCCACCGATTACGGTAGCACCTGGCACAGTGTCACTCATGTAGTAGACATTTATATGAATCAGGACTCTTGGTTGCAATCGTCAGAAATCCAGTTGTAACTGATTTAAGGGAGAAAAGTAAGTGAATTTATTGACTTGCATAAAAAGTTCATAGTAGTTTAGGTTTCAAGGATATCTAGTTACGGATAATCAAACAATAGCTTCAGGAATCATCTGTTTTTCTCTAACTTTGCTTTTGAGAAAGTAAGAGTGCTTCTGTTTCAGTGATTAAAAAAACTAATTCTAACTGGCTTAAGCAAAAAGTTTTGTTGCCTTAAGTAACCAACAAATTCAGAGGTTCTACATAATATAATAAGGTTCAACAGTACATCTAAAAGGCATTCCAAAGGAGAGAAAAAAAGATGGCCAATAATTTTCTATTGAAGAAAAATGACTCTTTAGATTGAGGAAGCACATCAAGTCTTGGGAAAATAACACATACATATAATGTAACATATACATGATGAATTTAAGCAAAGAGAAAAATGATGTTAATAGCAGCAGTTAAAACATAGCCTATCTAGAAAGAACTGACATTTAGACTGGAAGCCAAATTATCAAAAGTGAAAAGTAGTCTGAAGATAGTGGAATATATATAGTTCAAAGGGAAACTATGGACAACCTGGACCGTTATAACCAAGTAAATCATCACTCAAGAATGAGGATGTAATGCACCACTGCCAATCCAAGCAATATTCTGATCCCTTCCCATCATGTTCAGCGAAAGACTGAAATCTCAGGGATATAAAGAGAAGTATTCATGAGTCAAAGACATAAATGGATTCTAGAAAGATGGCAATACATGAGTTTTGAATCTCCATGAATCACTACATAAAAACAGACTATATAGTGAAACCAAGGATGTATGTGACAATGTTTACAACAAAATTAGATAACAGATTAACTCTACAAACCCCCAAATACAAGAGGGTGGGATCAAACCACAAACAGAAAGTTGTATAGTGTCAGTGCTGGAAAAAATAAGATCATAACTCTCAAGACATTAAGAAAAGTATGTAAGACATGAAAGAGCAAAATAAATCAGAATAAGAAAAACTCAGAAATAAACAACTTGGGAAAGAATGAGAATTAAGACAAAAAGTGGTTTCAGAAAATACTAAACTAGAAGGAACACAGGAGTAAATGAACAACAGATGGTGCCCAAGAGAACAAGAATTTGAAAATGAGATTTTATTTTATTTTTAAAGTGGGAGTGGTAATTTTTTTAGGTTTATTTATTAAATTTTTAAACAGGGTACTGGGGATTGAACCCAGTACCTTGTGCATGCTAGGTATGCACTCTGTCACTGAGCTATACCCACCCCCTGGAAATAAGCTTTCAAATAAAGAAATATAGAAAGAGGTAGAAATGATTGAGAAAAGATAAATATTGAAGATAGGTAAAGAAGATCCAATGTATGGTCAAAGAGTTTCTGATAAAGAAACCAAAACTAGCTAACAGAACAAATACAACACATTTTCCTGGAATAGAATATACATATTCTATTTATATAGGTTCATGTACATATTCATGTGTATTTGAAACCTCATACTGAAAGAGTATACTGGTATACCTGAAAACACTGAGAATGGACAATGTATTCTAGTAAAATTACTAGACTTTATGTTTGAAAGAATGTAAAGTGAAAAATGGTCATTGGCCAAAAAAATAATTTATGAGAGAAAATTGGATTACCATAACACTTCAACATTAACACTTCACGTGAGGAGAAAATGGTGAAACATTTAAAATAGTCAAAGAAAGAAAACAAGAACCAAGAACTCTGAATCCAGCAAAACTGGCTTTCAAGCAGAAAAGCATATTGTTCGCAAAATGGAAGAACTCAGAATGTTTGTTACTCATTTGAGTTCTTCCTGAGAAATCTACTAGAGAATGAGGCTTGGCAACCAAAATTACTGCCAGTGACAGAAGGACAGCTAGTGATTTTAAATGTTACATCTAGAATGAAGACTAAATGAGGGTTTCTTTCAGTCAAGTTCCAGTCAAGAGACAGAAACTACACAGTAACTTGAACAGAGAATATTTACTATGAAGAATTATTAATGGAATCGGAATCAAGGGGGGGCTGACTAGTAAAAGGCAAAGAGAACGCCTACCATATAGGAACAATAGATACAGGGAGCGGCCACCACTCCTAGAACTGAAATAGACTGACCAAGAAACACGTCCCCCCATCTCCTTGTTGGAGAGGGCATGACTGGCTCACTGCTGTGGCCTCAGTGGAACTTGCTAGAAACCCTCTCTCTGGAGTTCTTGGAGAAACCATCCATCCACAGGGAGGTGCCTTCAGCAGAATTCACTGCAGAGTGCCCAGAGAAGCCACCTCCAGGAAGGTGCTTTGCCAGCAGCACACCACTCTGAAGCCACCCAAAAAGCGGTGTGCTGGGGGACGCTGCTGTGGGAAGTCGCCGCTTGTTGTTGGCTGCTGGGTGCTGCTGAAAGGAACCACACACTCTGCAGGAGCCCAAGGAGGTAAGTGTATAGGCGTGAGAGAATCAGGAAGAGAAGCTTCTTCCTCCTCCAGTGCCTCCCCCTGCAGCCCAACAGTGTCCTCTACTGACAAAGACTAACAAACCAGCTGGCCTGGGAGACGCATTTACAGAGCTCATCTCCATTACTGCACAGCAAGCAAAGATTTCGGAGCTGAGAGTCAAAGAGTATAATCTGAGATGGATTTATATGCTGAACATTAGTACAAAGTGACTACAAAGCAGGAGGGGGCTCTGAGGAGATCATCAGCAAAAAATTTTACACTTTTCAGTGTATTGACGGTGCTAATATTACTATTATTATTTTGAGAATGCAAGTGTAATGTGGGGTAAAACAAGTAATTATCATTAGTCTGAATGCTCTAATTTCCTGCATCTTTTCAGTAGCAATGATCATCCTTATCACCTTGTCCGTGGTCTTGAAATACCAAGTCCCACTAAAGGAAACAAGAACTTCTTGGAGAAATGGATGATTCTAGGTCTGGGTCAGGAAATACATAGAATGAACATAAAATACCTTGTCATACTAAGAGCAGAGGAACTATTAAAGACTTCTAGGGTCATCTCCAAAGGACCCCGGAGCCAACCTGAAGAGGCTCCCCACTGGCCAAAGATGGGACAACTTGAGTTTCAATAAGGGTAACAGGGACTGAAACACATTAAATATGTTTAAATACATAAATTCATAATAATGTATTACCAAATGGATTAAACCCGAGTCTAATCAAGCCTCTGGAGCCAAGTGCCAGTTTACAGGAAACAGAGGACAAACATGCATATTGAAATGACCATGAGTATGCAATCTGCAAAATCCAGACTCTGGGGAACCCTACAAGTCAAACAGCTGAGTTCAATACATAAATTGTAAGATAAAGAATGGAGAAAACCATTAGATTAAAGGAGACTTTAAAGACGTCAAATTAAAGAGCAAGACTAAATTATAGTGTCTAGAGATACGCTTAAAAGAAATTTTAAAAAGTGTTGGCTATTGGAGTGATAGGACCATGAGCTCATGTCTCTCGTGACAATAAAACCACAACTGACAGCTAAACAACCACTGGGAAAAAAAAAACAAAAGACTGGAACCTAGGAAAAAAGATCTTCAACTGGAAACATTAAAGAGGGAAACACAGTGGGACAGTAGGAGGAGCAGGCTCACGATATAATCAGGCCCCATACTG